CCTTCCTTCCTTCCTTCCTTCCTTCCTTCCTTCCTTCCTTCCTTTTCTTGCATTTTACCTTCTTGTGTATTTTGCGTATTTTGTACTACTGAACTAAAATCCCGCCCTGCCTTATAGTTTATTCTGCCATCAGAATATCAGTTGAATTCTTCACAAAATTTTCATCTCCACCTTTACCGGGGCAGTGAAAGACTCAATGGCGGCATTCATTACTTTTAACCACAGCCTTTGTAGGTTAGCTTGATGTGTGAATGGCATTTGTCTGGTTACTAACCCCCAAGGGGTTAAGAATCAGGTGTGGGGTGTGAACCCAGCCAATCTTCCTGCCTTCTTTCTAGCTTTTTGCCTCTTGAAGAATAAATTGTTTCCCCCAAGGTATCAGCCCTGTTAGACTGGGATAGGAGGAGCAACAGAAGAAATGAAACACACCGTCTCTCTGTCCCTCTCTTTGGCCATGTCCCCATGCTGTCTCCAGCCCAAGAGTGAGACAGGCTGAACTCACGCACCATCTTGACTCTTTTGACCACACCTGCAGTCACCCTCAGTCTAAGGGCAACCTCAGAGTGTATAAAATCTTGATGCCCCCTCCCCCCGCCGCCATCACCTTGGAGGGAAGTCCGGAGACCACAACGACTGGGAACAGAGACAGGGGAGGGATTGGCGGTGGAGAGAGCACATGTCACACCACCATAGTTTTTTGCAAGTATCAGAACGGGGAGACCAGGTTTGAAAAGGATTATGGGTGTCCTTGTCAACCCAAAACTAAACGTGAGCCATCCGTTTGAGGCCGTTGTTGAAAAGGACAATGCTAATTTGGGATGTATTAATAGAAGCTGAGAGTCCAGGTCATGTGGAGTAACTGTCCTACTCTATTGTGTCCTGGTCAGACCCCACTTGGAGTCCTGTGTCCAGTTCTGAGTTCCACAATCTCAGAAGGCCATCAGTGAACTGGAGCAAGTTCAGAGGAGGGCCACCAAGATGGTGAGGTGAATAGAAACCAAGTTCTCTGAGGAATGGTTATAGGAACTGCATATGTTTAGCCCACAGAGGACCGCATATGACAAGAGTCTTCAGACATCTAATGATTTGTCAGGAAGAGTACGGAATGGCAGGAACAATATTCAGTCTGGATATTAGGAGGAATTTCCTGACAGTAAGAGTGTCAACCAGTGGACTAGGTAGTCTGACTGAGAACTTCAGTTTTTACTAAACTTCTCCTTTGTTGGAGGTTTTCAAACATAAGTATAACCCTAACCGTAAGAAATCCTTTAGAGCAGAGTTTCTCAACCTTGGGAACTTAAAGATGCATGGCTGGCTGGGGAATTTTGGAAGTTGAAGTCCATGCATCTTAAAGTTCCCAAGGTTGAGAAATACTGCTTTAGAGAAACTAAAGGAAACACTCATCAGGAGATTGGACTAGATGACCTCTGAAGTAACTTTTAACTCTATAATTCTATTATTCATTTCAACCCACACTTTTCTTAGTTAGAGGCTGTCCAATCAGGTTTGACTCCTGCCATCTGAATAGAAAAATGCTTTCCATCTTGACCTGTTTTTAGTAACCACCCATAGCTCTGCCAAGGATGAAAGTTCTTGATCCTGGCCACTCACATTATCTACTTATTTTCTCCTCTTCTACTTCTCTCCACCTTACCAAGTTGGTTAGTTTGTCCTGTCACGTCCCATTCCCAAAGTATGTGAGTTTCTTCTGGCTGTTCATTGGCTCAAGAAAGCAATCAGCCTTGGTTTAGTCCATGCCTCCCTGATTAGGTCTTCCTCCAGTTCATGGTGCTGTTCTATCAAAAAACCATTGCAAAGACAAAAGGAGCCACTGAAACAATGTAGGGAAAATTGTAGAAAAAATGTACAAATAGTGGAAAGCTTTGGGGGGCATCTGAATTAGTCAACACTCAGCCCTTAATAATTCCCATACAGGGAATTATTTGTATCCCCCATCCAGAGGTGATTAGCCAGAACAACCAGTGCCATTTCATCTCATGATAGGGTTTGAATCCACTGAAAGGAGTCTAGACCAGTGTTTCTCAACCTCAG